CAAGCATCCTCAGAGATCACCTCACTACCTCTGAGGATATTTATTTATCGTGTCAGGCAACCAAACAGTTGTATTACATTTTTGACAGAACAAACAGACAGACAAAACACAAAGTTTGCAAGCTTGGTAGTTGATTAAATGTCCTTTGACCAGTATCTGGCCACTTGGAGTGCCTCTGGTGTTGCCGCAAGAAGGTCCTCCATTGGTGCATGTGGCAGGGCTCAGGGTACATTGCAGCAGGTGGTCAGTGGTTTGCTCTTCTCCACACTCGCATGTCGAGGATTCCACTTTGTGGCCCCATTTCCCAAGGTTGGCTCTGCATCTCGTGGTGCCAGAGTGCAGTCTGTTCAGCGCCTTCCAAGTCGCCCAGTTTCTGTGTGCCCAGGGGGGAGTCTCTCATTTGGTATCAGCCAATGATTGAAGTTCTGGGTTTGAGCCTGCCACTTTTGGACTCTCGCTTGCTGAGGTGTTCCTGTGAGTGTCTCTGTAGATCTTAGAAAACTATTTCTTGATTTAAGTCGTTGACGTGCTGGCTGATACCCAAACAGGAGATGAGCTGGAGATGTCTCTGCCTTGGTCCTTTCACTATTGGCTGCTACTTCCCGGCGGATGTCAGGTGGTGCAATACCGGCTAAGCAGTGTAATTTCTCCAGTGGTGTAGGGCGCCAACACCCTGTGATAATGCAGCATGTCTCATTAAGAGCCACATCCACTGCTTTAGTGTGGTGAGATGTGTTCCACACTGGGCATGCGTACTCAGCAGCAGAGTAGCATAGTGCAAGGGCAGATGTCTTCACTGTGTCTGGTTGTGATCCCCAGGTTGTGCCAGTCAGCTTTCGTATGATATTTTTTCTAGCACCCACTTTTTGCTTGATATTCAGGCAGTGCTTCTTGTAGGTCAGAGCACAGTCCAGGGTGACTCCCAGGTATTTGGGTGCGCTGCAATGCTCCAGTGGGATTCCTTCCCAGGTCATCCTCAGAGCTCGGGATGCTTGTCTGTTCTTGAGAAGAAACATGTCTGTGTTTTAGATGGATTGGGGATCAGCTGGTTTCCCTGTAATAGGCAGTAAGAGCACCTAGAGCTTTGGAGAGCTTCTGTTCAACCATCTCAAAGCTCCCTGCTTGAGCAGTAATGGCACGATCATCAGCATAGATGAAGCTCTCTGTCCCTTCTGGCAGTGGCTGGTCATTTGTGTAGATGTTGAACATGGATGGAGCAAGCACGCTCCCCGAAAGCAGGCTGTTCTTCTGTTGGGGGATGCAGCCTGGGGAATAGGCTGAGCCATCTGGGAAAGGAGAGGCCATCCCTCATGGGTGGGAATCACCCAGCTCTCCAAATGTGGCTGGACTCCTTCTCTCTTTGCCTTCTATCACTCCTCAAACCTCAACAGTATTTTGAGCTGGATCATGAAAGGTGTGTGTTCCAATTTTAGAATAATAGAATTCAAGAGCTGGAAGAGACCTGGTTGGCCATCCAGTCCAACCTCACAAGAATGGGTTGTTGTAGGTTTTTTCGGGCTATATGGCCATATTCTAGAGGCATTCTCTCCTGACGTTTCGCCTGCATCTATGGCAAGCATCCTCAGAGGTAGTGAGGTCTGTTGGGACTAGGAAAATGGGTTTATATATCTGTGAAATGACCAGGGTGGGACAAGAGTCCTTTGTCCCACCCTGGTCCTTCCACAGATATATAAACCCTTTTTCCTAGTTCCAACAGACCTCACTACCTCTGAGGATGCTTGCCATAGATGCAGGCAAAACGTCAGGAGAGAATGCCTCTAGAACATGGCCATAGAGCCCGAAAAAACCTACAACAACCCAGTGATTCCAGCCATGAAAGCCTTCGACAATACATTCTCACCAAGAATGTTTGCCTATCTGTGTATGTTGTAATCCACTCTGTGTCCCCTTGGGGAGATAAAACGGAATATAAATAAAGGGTTGTTGTTGTTTGATAAACGACAAGATTAGTACACAGCAAACAAGATCACTACGCTGGCTGTTGTATTGGATCACACGTCGGACACTTCCCAAGTGTCTAGGACTGTGTGATGTATTGGCGAATAATGCGTGCAGATCCAAGTAGGCTGGCCTTTTGCAGATGACAGGTGGTAATTTTGTCAGCACCTATTGTTTTTATGTGCCGATCAAAGTCTAGCACTTTACTGGCTTGTGCCAGTCTTTTATTTATTTATTTATTATTTGAACTTATATGCCACCACTCCCCTGGGGCTCGGAGTGGCTTACAAGAACAGGCTGTTCGATCTTTGTTATTATTATTATTATTATTATTATTATTATTGCTGTTCAATCTTTTTTATTATTATTATTATTATTATTATTATTATTTAACACAAGAGTATACACAGCAAACAAGATCACTATGCTGGCTTTTGTATTTGATCACACATACTTCCCAAGTGTCTAGGACTGTGTAAGGTATCAGTGAATAATGCATGCAGATTCAAGTAGGCTGGCCTTTTCTAGCAGGCAGATGGTAATTTTGTCAGCACCTATTGTTTTTAAGTGCAGGCCAAGGTCTTTAGGCACTCTACCCAGTGTGCCAATTATTATTATTATTATTATTATTATTATTATTATTATTATTATTATTATTCCAGTGGGTTTCCAATGCCAAGGAGGGCTTTGAGCTCTGTTTCCAGAGCAGCAATTCAATCAATGCCTTATTTCCTGGTTTTGTGTGAAGCCAGGAAATTAGGCCATGCCTTAGACCTGTTCTGTGTATACTTAAAATCTGGGAGAGGGTTGTCATGGAAACGGGAGCAATGCAGGGGAGGGGCCAGGGTGAGACGTGAGGGACATAAACTGTCAGTTGGAACTTTGTTGCGTTCCCTAATGCATGCTTTTAAATTAAAGCCTTCCAACTTTGTTTGTGAGGTAATTTCTACTTCAAAAAGCTACAGATCCGGACAAGTTCAAGGCTCAAAATGCAGGAGAGGGGCCAGGGTGAGACGTGAGGGACATAAACTGTCAGTTGGAATTTTGTTGCGTTCCCTAATGCATGCTTTTGAATTAAAGCCTTCCAACTTTGTTTGTGAGGTAATTTCTACTTCAAAAAGCTACAGATCCAGACAAGTTCAAGGCTCAAAATGCAGGGGAGGGGGCAGGGTGAGACGTGCGGGACATAAACTGTCAGTTGGAATTTTGTTGCATTCTCTAATGCATGCTTTTGAATTAAAGCCTTCCAACTTGGTTTGTGAAGTAATTTCTACTTCAAAAAGCTACAGATCCGGACAAGTTCAAGGCTCAAAATGCAGGGGAGGGGGCAGGGTGAGACGTGAGGGACATAAACTGTCAGTTGGAATTTTGTTGTGTTCCCTAATGCATGCTTTTGAATTAAAGCCTTCCAACTTTGTTTGTGAGGTAATTTCTACTTCAAAAAGCTACAGATCCGGACAAGTTCAAGGCTCAAAATGCAGGGGAGGGGCCAGGGTGAGACGTGAGGGACATAAACTGTCAGTTGGAATTTTGTTGCGTTCCCTAATGCATGCTTTTGAATTAAAGCCTTCCAACTTTGTTTGTGAGGTAATTTCTACTTCAAAAAGCTACAGATCCAGACAAGTTCAAGGCTCAAAGCCATTACACCAGGAGGCCGCAAGTTACCTTTATTTCGTTATAATCTGTAAAATAGAAGAAACGTAGCAAATTTCTAAATAAGTGCCAAACATAAGTATATACGGCTAAGAGGAGGAACCCATGTGGATGCCACGTCCTATCAGCTGAAGAGGCACCAACAGGGCCACAAGTCCAGTACGTTAGCTGGATCTGTCAAAAGAAGACCCAAAGTGTCTTGAATCCTAGAATCCTAGAGTTGGAAGAGACCTCATGGGCCATCCAGTCCAACTCCATTCTGCCAAGAAGCGGGAAAATTGCATTCAAAGCACCCCCGACAGATGGCCATCCAGCTTCTGTTTAAAACAGTGTTTCTCAACCTTCCTAATGCCGTGACCCCTTAATCCAGTTCCTCATGTTGTGGTGACCCCCTACCATAACATTATTTTTGTTGCTACTTCGTAACTGTAATTTTGCTACTGTTATGAATCGTCATGTAAATATCTGATATGCAGGATGTATGTTCATTCACAAATTTGGCAGACATGAGAGATATACCCAAATTTGAATACTGGTGGGGTGGGGAAGGGGATTGAGTTTGTCATTTGGGAGTTGTAGTTGCTGGGATTTATAGTTCACCTACAAACAAAGAGCATTATGAACTCTACCAATGATGGAATTGAACCAAACTTGGCAAACAGAACACCCATAAACAACAAAAAATACTGGGTTTGGTTGGTAGTGACCTTGAGTTTTGGAGTTGTAGTTCACCTACATCCAGACAGCACTGTGGACTCAAACATTGATGGATCTGGACCAAACTTGGCATGGATACTCAATATTTCCAAATGTGAACACTGGTGGAGTTTGGGGAAAATAGACCTTGACATTTGGGAATTATAGTTGCTGGGATTTATAGTTCACCTACAATCAAAGAGCATTCTGAACTCCACCAACGATGGAATTGAACCAAACTTGGCACACAGAACTCCCATGATCAACAGAAAATACTGGAAGGGTTTGGTGGGCATTGACCTTGAGTTTTGGAGTTGTAGTTCACCTACATCCAGAGAGCACTGTGGACTCAAACAATGATGGATCTGGACCAAACTTGGCAAATACTCAATATGCCCAAATGTGAACACTGGTGGAGTTTGGGGAAAATAGACCTTGACATTTGGGAATTATAGTTGCTGGGATTTATAGTTCACCTACAATCAAAGAGTATTCTGAATCCCACCAATGATAGAATTTGGCCAAACTTCCCACAGAGAACCCCCACGACTAACAGAAAATACTGTGTTTTCTGATGGTCTTTGGTGACCCCTCTGACACCCCCTCGTGACCCCCTTAGGGGTCCCGACCCCCAGGTTCAGAAACGCTGGTTTAAAAGCTTCCAAAAAAGGAGCCTCCACCACACTATTGTTAGACTAGGCAGGAAGGGGTCCATGCAACAGTTAGAGCAGCTTCCTGTCCACGTGTGTTTTCTTCAGTGTGTGAAGAGTCTGGTGCCTCTTGAGGTGTGGTTTCTGGCTGAAGCTCATTCCACACTCCAGGCACTTGTAGGGCTTCTCTCCCCTGTGGTTCATTTCGTGCCCTATGAGGCTCCTCTTTTGAGCAAAAGCTCTTCCGCACTCCAGGCACTTAAATGGCTTCTCTCCCGTGTGGATTTTTTCGTGCCTGGTGAGGTCTGTTTTCTGATGGAAGCATTTCCCGCACTCCTGGCAGGTGTAGGACTTCTCTTCCCGATGGAAAATCTGGTGTCTCTTGAGGTTGGCTTTGTAGCCAAAGCCCTTCCCGCACTCGGGGCACTTGTAAGGCCTGTCTCCTCTGTGGTTCATTTCGTGCCCAATCAGATTCCTCTTTTCGGCAAAGCCTTTCCCACACAAGAGGCACTTGAATGGCTTGTCCACCATGTGTATTCTTCTGTGTCTAGTGAGGTTTCCACTATAATGGAAGACTTTCCCGCACTCCAGGCATTTATACGGCTCCTCCACCATATCGGAGTTGTCAAAGTTTGTAAGGTGTAGACTGTATCCAAAGCTATCTCCCAATTGCTGGTATTTAGGTGGCCCTGTCTCGATGCGGCTTGTGGTATCGCCGTTCAGGTAGGATTCCTGGTGGAAAAAGTCTTCCTCGTAGAAGAGGCAGTTCTCAATCTCCCTCGTTTGATCTGTGATCTCTTGGACCGTGATTTCCCAGGGATCGGCGAGCCATTGGCTCCTTCCATTGAGGTCTGCTTCCACTATCACGCTTTGCTCTTCCTCCTCGTCACATCTCAGGGTTTGCAGCCACACTGTACACAGGTCGCCTCCGTTTTCACTCTCCTCTCCATCACCAGCTTGAAAGAAGAAAGAAAAAAGCAGAAAGCAGGCGTGAGAAAAGGGGTGCATGAAATCAGTCAATTAGCACAAAAGATGTAAGTGAGAAAATGAGAAAGACAGAGGAGTAAGAACCTTGGTCTTGAGGAGACAACAATGCTAGGCTTGGGCGATCAAGAAAAAAATCGTTTCTAGGGTGCGCTAGCGTTTCTAAATTCTGAGGACTTCCGAAATTTAAGATTTCAAAATTCCAAAATTTCCGAAATTTCGTAAATTACGAATTGATTCGTTAATGGCGGACGCGATTGCGCAATATGCTAAAAAAACCTCCAAATGGGACAGGGGAACTTCTGAAGCTTCCCTCTCCCTCTGTTGTTGACTGTTGGTGTGATAAAACAAACAACAACTATATTATATTATATTATTATATTATATTATTATATTGTTAACAACAACTATATTATATTATATTATTATATATTATATTATATTATTATAATATTATAATATTATATATTATTATATTATATTATATTATTATATTATTATAATATATTATATATATTATATTATATTATTATTATATTATTATAATATTATTATATTATATTATGTTATTGTATATTATATTATATTACTTTATATTATATTATATTATAATATATTACATATATTATATTATTATATTATAATATTATATATTATATTATAGTATTGTATATTAGAGTGAGGCAAGAAGAAGCATGAGGAATCATAGAATCATAGAATCAAAGAGTTGGAAGAGACCTCATGGGCCATCCAGTCCAACCCCATTCTGCCAAGAAGCAGGAATATTGCATTCAAATCACCCCTGACAGATGGCCATCCAGCCTCTGTTTAAACGCTTCCAAAGAAGGAGCCTCCACCACACTCCGGGGCAGAGAGTTCCACTGCTGAACGGCTCTCACAGTCAGGAAGTTCTTCCTCATGTTCAGATGGAATCTCCTCTCTTGTAGTTTGAAGACATTGTTCCGCGTCCTAGTCTCCAAGGAAGCAGAAAACAAGCTTGCTCCCTCCTCCCTGTGGCTTCCTCTCACATATTTATACATGGCTATCATATCTCCTCTCAGCCTTCTCTTCTTCAGGCTAAACATGCCCAGCTCCTAAGCCGCTCCTCATAGGGCTTGTTCTCCAGACCCTTGATCATTTAGTCGCCCTCCTCTGGACTCATTCCAGCTTGTCAATATCTCTCTTGAATTGTGGTGCCCAGAATTGGACACAATATTCCAGGTGTGGTCTAACCAAAGCAGAATAGAGGGGTAGCATTACTTCCCTAGATCTAGACACTATGCTCCTATTGATGCAGGCCAAAATCCCATTGTTGGCTCATGTTTAACTTGTTGTCCACGAGGACTCCAAGATCTTTTTCACATGTACTGCTCTCGAGCCAGGCGTCCCCATTCTGTATCTTTGCATTTCATTTTTTCTGCCAAAGTGGAGTATCTTACATTTGTCACTGTTGAACTTCATTTTGTTAGTTTTGGCCCATCTCTCTAATCTGTCAAGATCGTTTTGAATTCTGCTCCTGAGGAGGGAAGCAGCAGAGCAAAGGGACCGGAAGTGGGGTAAATGCGAGATTGTAAAACTTGCACCAGACATACGAAAATAATTACGAAATAATTACGAAAATTGGAAAAATTGTTTCGATTCTTAATTACTCCTCACACTATTCCTGCATGGCTCAATATTGGATCGTAAGCTAATTTAAATACGAATTAATAATGAATAACGAAATTAACGAACTGGATCGCCCAAGCCTAAACAATGCCAAGATGATACTTTTTTATTTATTTATCATATTTACATACCGCCCCTCTCAACCCGAAGGCAACTCAAGGCGGTTTACAGTCAGCACTCAATGCCCCCAAGAACATAAATACAGTTAAAAACAATTACGTATAATATAAACCATATAAAAACAATAAAACAATAAAAACCACAAAACACAAGTCCTCAGAGTCTCATCACTAAAATTATTTTTCCATTGCATTCTCGAATTGTTCCGTGGATCTCAATTAGTCGGTTATACTGCGTCTGCAAATGCCTGCTCAAACAGCCAGGTTTTTACTCTCTTTCGAAATGTTAGGAGGGAGGGGGCCGATCTAATATCCCTAGGGAGGGGATTCCATAGCTGAGGGGCCACCGCTGAGAAGGCCCTGTCTCTCGTTCCCACCAATCGCATCTGCAAAGGGGGTGGGACCGAGAGCAGGGCCTGTCCAGACGATCTTAGAGACCTAGATGGTTCATAGGGAGAGATGTGTTCGGACAGGTAAACTGGGCCGGAACCGTTTATTAATCTACTAACATGCAAATGTGAGCAGATCAATAGGGCCAGACATTAGCACAGCTGGAAAATCACCAGCAATGATAAGATCTATCAACAGGAAAGGTTGCCAGTTCGAAGCCCTGGTTGGTGTGAGCTCCCAACTGTCAGTCCAGCTTACTGTTTACCTAAGCGGTTTGAAAACAGCTTGAACTATAAGTAGAGAAATTCGGTACCACTAAAACAAGAGGGGGAGGTATTTTACAACACCATTTTATAAAACGTTTAGGGCTTAAAGGCTAAAGCCAGCATTTTGAATTGTGCCGGTAGCAAACTGGCAGCCGGTGGAGCTGGCGCAACAGAGGAGTTATGTGCTCCCTGAGCACCGCGCCTTTTAACAACCTGGCTGCTGCCCGTTGGACCATTTGAAGCTTCCAAACAGTCTTCAAAGGTAGCCCCATGTAGAGCGCATTGCAGTAGTCTATACGGGATGTAACCAGAGCATGGACTACCGTGGCAAAGTCAGACTTCCCAAGGTACAGGTGCAACTGGTGCACAACTTTCAGGAGCTCAATGGGTTTATCCATTGAGCTCCTGAAAGTTGGCAGTTTGAATCCTCTGTTAGCCCTAGCTCCTGCCAACCTAGCAGTTTGAAAACATGCAAATATGAGTAGATCAATAGGGCCAGACATTAGCACAGCTGGAAAATCACCAGCAATGATAAGATCTATCAACAGGAAAGGTTGCCAGTTCGAAGCCCTGGTTGGTGTGAGCTCCCAACTGTCAGTCCAGCTTACTGTTTACCTAAGCGGTTGTTCAGTCTAACAACTGAAGCCAATTGCCTTGCATAATTGCACTTGGTTGTATACCACGTGAGAAGATTCTACTCAAACGGGGTTTGGGCTCTTCTCTGAAACATCATGCCGATACATCATTCCTGACCAAGAGGGTGAGGGATCCTTACCAAGAGAGGCCACCATCTTATAGTTCTCCTCCATGACCTCCCAGTGCAGGGTCCGTTGATCCGGATCCAGGAGAGCCCACTCCTCCTCACTGAAATGGACAGACACATCCTCAAATGTCACCTGAAAAGAGAGATTTTGGACGCACAGATCAATAATGCTTCTTCCATTGCGAAGCGAAATCCTATATGCCAGTGGTTCTCAACCTTGCTAATGCCGTGACCCCTTAATGCCGTTCCATATGTTGTGGTGACCCCCAACCATAATATTGTTTTTGTTGCTACTTGATACCTGTCATTTTACTACTTTATAAATCGTAATGTAAATATCCAATATGCAGGATGTATTTTCATTCAATGGACTAAATTGGGCACAAAAACCAAATATGCCCAAATCTGAATGCTAGTGGGGTTGGGGGAGGATTGATCTTGTAATTTGGGAGTTGTAGTTGCTGGGATTTATAGTTCACCTATAGTTAAAGAGCATTCTGAACTCCACCAGCAATGGATTTAAACCGAACTTGGCACACAGAACTCCCATGACAATTAGAAAACACTGGAAGGGTTTTGTGGGCATTGACCTTGAGATTGGGAGTTGTAGTTCACCTATATCCAGAGGAGTGCTGTAGATTCATGCAATGATGGATCTGGACCAAACTTAGCACGAATACTCAATGTGTCCAAATGTGAACACTGGTGGAGTCTGGGGAAAATAGACCTTGACATTTGGGAGTTGTCGTTGTTGGGATTTATAGTTCACCTACAATCAAAGAGCATTCTGAACTCGACCAACAATGGAATTGGGTCAAACTTCCCACACAGAATCCCAATGACCAACAGAAAATACTATGTTTTCTGATGGTCTTTGGTGACCCCTTTGACACCCCCCTCACGACCCCCTCAGGGGTCCCGACCCCCAGGTTGAGAAACACTTCTATATGCACCCTTTCCAATGCAATAAAAGGGCCTTTAGAATCTTTAATGAATGTGTAACATGGAAAGCACAAGGTAGGGATTATTATTATTATTATTATTATTATTATTATTTGATACATAACAAGATTAGTACACAGCAAACAAGATCTTCTATGATGGGTGTTGTATTGGATCACATGTTGGACACTTCACAAGTGTCTAGGACTATGTGATGTATCGGCAAATAATGTGTGCAGATCTCAGTAAGGTGGCTTTTTGCAGCTGGCAGATGCTAATTTTGTCAGCGCCGATTGTGTTTAAGTGCAGGCCATGGTCTTGAGGCACTGCACCCAGTATGCCAACCACCACTGGGACCACTTTAACTGGCATGTGCCAGAGTCTTTGCAGTTCGATCTTTAAATCCTCATATCGTGTCAGCTTGTCCAGTTGTTTCTCTTCAATCCTGCTGTCACCTGGGATTGCAACATCAACAATTCATACTTGGTTTTTTACCACAATTGTGAGGTCAGCAGTATTGTGCTCCAAAACAGTTGTCGTTGTCTTCTTCTTCTTCTTCTTAATTATATATTTATTATTATTTATTATTTATATTGTTGTTGTTATTATTATTGGAATATGAAAGCTTTGAAAAACAGCGTGCTTATTATTATTATTATTATTATTGGAAGATTAAAGTTTTGTAAAACAGCATGCTGAGACCTCACAACCTCTGAGGATGCCTGTCATAGATGCAGGCAAAACGTCAGGAGAGAATGCTTCTGGAACATGGCCATACAGTCTGGAAAATACACAACAACCCAGCATGCTGAAAATTTGTTATAAGGAAACTTGGCCAGGAGAAGAAAACAAACAAACAAACCATGCTTTCAACCCACATGACGTGCTCGTGGAGAATTCCACAAATCTCTCCAGTTCATTTCGACTTCTATCTTTTTACCTGAAACTGTTGTGGTGATGCCATTTCTCCTGCGTCACAAACAGACAAGCTATCTTGCTCTCCCAGCATTGGATCAACGCCTGTGAAATGCCACAGAAATAATGTTAGGAAGTGTAACCACTTTCTATTTAAGTATTAAAAAACTCAAAAATTACAACAGCAAAATAACAGAGGGGAAACAAACAGGCACACAAAATCACTCTCAACAAAAGATTGCCCCAGGCACTGCCAGGCCATCAAATGCGAATCAAGGTGGTCAGTTGAAACATTCACACCTAGCTCCAGCAGACAAGAGTCCTTTGTCTCACCCTGGTCATTCCACAGATATATAAACCCTTTTTCCTAGTTCCAACAGACCTCACTACCTCTGAGGATGCTTGCCATAGATGCAGGCGAAATGTCAGGAGAAAAATTGCCTCCAGAACATGGCCATATAGCCCGGAAAAACCTACAACAACCCACTTTCTATTTCATCCAGAAGAAATTACCTCACAAAGTTGGAAGGCCGTAATTCAAAAGCATGCATTAGGGAACGCAACAAAATTCCAACTGACAGTTTATTTCCCTCATGCCTCACCCTGGCCCCTCCCCTGCATTGCTCCCATTTCCATGACACCTCTCTCCCAGATTTCAAATATATACAGGACTGGTCTAAGGCATGGCCTAATTTCCTGGCTTCACACAAAACCAGTAAATAAGGTCCTGACATGGAGGGCCCAAGTTGGCCCATGCCTGCTATAGATGCATATTGGTGGGGACATAACAGCAGATCTTATATTTGGGGGATCCTTGAGAACTAAAGGTTTCTTCTTACCATTGCCCTCCAGTTGGATCCACCTGGAAGGGGACCTCTGACTGGTGTCCAGTGGGACCTTCTGGGCCTGAAGGACATCACTCTCCTGCTGCTTCTTCTGCTGCTTCTCCTCCGTCTGGCTCAGAAGGAAGCCTTCGGCCAAAGCCACCGCCTGGGAACTGGTCTCCGGCCCACATTCCCGGACCCAACTCTCCATCTCTGGAGGAAGGACGGCCAGGAACTGCTCCAGGAGGACCAGGTCCACCATCTGGGCTTTTGTGTGCTTCTCTGGCTTCAGCCACTGGCAGCAGAGTTTGTGGAGTTGGCTGCACAACTCTCGGGGCCCATCGGCCTCCTGGAAGTGGAACCACCGCAAGCGCTGGGACTGAAGGTCTGCTCCATCTAGGATGTCTTCCCTTGGTTTCCCCCAGAATTCAGCACTTCTTCTGCCCCATGTCTTGTTTGCCTCCTCCATCTTCGATCGGGACTCCATATCCTTTTCCACCTGGGCTGAAGGCCGTCTTCCTCTCATTTTAAGTCACGAAGCAAAGGCTACACAACAACAAGGAGATCAAACCTAGGTGAGCTGACAAGATCTCTAAACCATGAACGATCTCTACATTTTGGTGGCTTTGTTTACTCTTAAACCCTTAATGAAGCAAGGTGATGGGAAGTCACTTGCCTTCATTTTCGCTTCCCCTCGCCTTTGGCCCTCCTTGCTTTGCTATGGTCCAGCTACGGTTCCTCCTACACTGCCATATAATCCAGATTATCAAAGCAGATCGTCCACATTGCCTGCTTTGAACTGGATTATGTGAGTCTGCATTGACATAAAATCCAGTACAAAGCAGACAATCTTTGAAACATCTACAATGTGAGAGTTGGTAAATGTAAATAAACAGAAGCAATACCACAGTTTTTGAACCAAGATATACCCTGCAGTGTAATAAAGTGTAACTCGGGATTGTGTAACTGGTAACAGTATCTTTGTTGTTGTTCATTCGTTCAGTCGTCTCCGACTCTTCGTGACCTCATGGACCAGCCCACGCCAGAGCTCCCTGTCGGCCGTCACCACCCCCAGCTCCTTCAAGGTCAGTCCAGTCACTTCAAGGATGCCATCCATCCATCTTGCCCTTGGTCGGCCCCTCTTCCTTTTACCTTCCACTTTCCCCAGCATAATTGTCTTCTCTGGGCTTTGCTGTCTCCTCATGATGTGGCCAAAGTACTTCAACTTTGTCTCTAGTATCTTTACTTCAGTTCAAAAGATCAAACAGGGCAACAATATGTACAGCATGTATAAATATGTGAGAGGAAGCCACAGGGAGGAGGGAACAAGCTTGTTTTCTGCTTCCCTAGAGACGCAATTGGACAATGGCTTCAAACTACAAGAGAGGAGATTCCATCTGAACATGAGGAAGAACTTCCTGACTGTGAGAGCCGTTCAGCAGTGGAACTCTCTGCCCCGGAGTGTGGTCGAGGCTCCTTCTTTGGAAGCTTTTAAACAGAGGCTGGATGGCCATCTGTCAGGGGTGCTTTGAATGCAATATTCCTGCTTCTTGGCAGGGGGTTGGACTGGATGGCCCATGAGGTCTCTTCCAACTCTTTGATTCTATGATTCTAGCAGTCTCTCTGAATTCACACAGAGAACAGAGGGAATGAACAGTCTTTAAATTATGCTTCATGCCTTAGAAATGATCAGGCTTCAGAGAGTTGACAGCCATTTCCTTCCTGGCTGTTTCCAGTCAGCGCTCTCTTCACTCTCCAAAGTGAAAGTGGCAGTTAAAACCATTTGTCTCACAACAAGTCAGAGACAATCAGAACTATGGCCCCTGGCATGCTCAGCCAATCAGCCGCCGATACATGCCTCTCCAGTCAACCCACCACATCATTGTCTCTTTTTTAAATCCTCGTATACAGGACCCAAAAAATATAAACTAGGAGTGAAAATAGTCTTTCCTCAGTGGAGGTTTGTGTGTGTGTGTGTGTGTGTGTGTGTGTGTGTGTGTGTCAGGAGCGACTTGAGAAACTGCAAGTTGCTTCTGGTGTGAGAGAATTGGCCGTCTGCAAGGACGTTGCCCAGGGGACGCCTAGATATTTTTGATGTTTTATCATCCTTGTGAGAGGCTTCTTTCATGTCCCCGCATGAGGAGCTGGAGCTGTTAGGGGGAGCTCATGTGCACTGTCCCTGGATTCGAACCAGTCTTCAATCCTGCATACTTGGCCGTTTGCAAGGATGTTGCCTAGGAGATGCCCGGAAGTTTTATCATCCTTGTGGGAGGCTTCTCTCATGTCCCCGCATGAGGAGCTGGAGCTGATAGGGGGAGCTCATGTGTGCTCTCCCTGGATTCGAACCTGCCACCTGTCGGTCTTCAGTCCTGCTGGCACTGGGGTTTAACCCACTGCGCCACCGGTTTTAACTACCAATTTCACTTTGGAGAGTGAAGAGAGTGCTGCCTGGAAATAGCCAGGAGATATTAGATTTGATTATTTTGAAAGGAGGAATCAGGGGAGTCTCGTTTGTGTGATGCGTGGGTATATTTTGAGACCTGATCTGGTTCAATGTTGGGATTTGACAGGTCCAGAGCCCAGTCTCTATTGGAACTGAGAATCTCACCTGAGCTGATAGAGGGAGTTCATCCGCGCTCTCCCCGGATTCTAACCTGCCACCTGTTGGTCTTCAGTCCTGCTGGCACTGGGGTTTAACCCACTGCACCACTGGTTTTAACTGCCACTTTCACTTTGGAGAGTGAAGAGAGTGCTGCCTGGAAATAGCCAGGAGATATTAGATTGGATTATTTTGAAAGGAGGAATCAGGGGAGTCTCGTTTGTGTGATGCGTGGGTGTATTTTGAGACCTGATCTGGTTCAATGTTGGGATTTGACAGGTCCAGAGCCTAGTCTCTATTGGAACTGAGAATCTCACCTGGGCCCCTTCTACTCTGCCCTATATCCCAGAATCTGATCCCAGGTTATCTGCTTTGAACTGGATTATAGGAGTGTACACTGCCAGATAATCTGAGATATAAGGCAGTGTAGACCCGGCCCAGGTTATCTTTGGTTGGTTCATGTATTCCAGGCAGCACTCTCTTCACTCTCCAAAGTGTAAGGGGTAGTTAAAACCGGTGGCACAGTGACCTCCTAGGAAGGCTGTAGATATAAAGTGGGGAGAAAGGAGCCACAGATGGAGGAAAAATCAAGAGATATATCCCACAATGAATTTCTATTTGCAGAAGCTATACTGAGCCTCTCAAATGCCGCAGTCTATACAAACATGAATGCCCCATGCCTGCATTCAAGATCTTCCGGACAGTCAGAGCAGTGCAACAGTGACATATGCTGCTCCCTGGGAGGCTTGTAAACAGACACTGCATGGCCATCTGTTGGGGGTGCTTTGATTGTGTCTCCCTGCATGGAAGAAGGGGGTTGGATTAGATGGCCCTTGTGCCAGGATTCATTCTACTCTAACCCATTCCAGTCCCCTATTCCTTCTCTGCAAAACATCCTCATTTCCTCTCTCCCTTCCTGCCTCCAAGAGGAATGAATGGGCAAGAAGGGTGGAATCTCTCTTTCCCCTTCAAACCCCCCTCTCAGTCATAAATGGTTCGCCCCAGTAAGCCCACCAGGAGGAGGACTCACCCATTTGCTGCTAAGAGAGAGGGGGGAATAGAAAGGAAGCCAGGCTTGGCTTTCCCAGCTCTCCAGTCCTTTGTTGTTTGCAGCGTCTCTTCCGGGCTGCTTCTGCTGTGGTGGGCGGGGCCTCTCTCTTGCAGGACACGCCCCTTTCCACGCCCACCCCTCTTTCCCCCTCCCTCCCTGGAAACTTAACCCTTTGGGTTCTTTTTTCAAGAATCAGAGTTGGAAGAGACCACAAGGGTCAGCATCTATATGCAACCCCTTCTTGCATATAGGAAAACACAATCAAAGCACTCCTGACAGATGGCCTCTCTTTTTTTCTTTTTTGCAGAATTTTCCACTGCTAAATTTGTTATGTTGTTTATTTGATTGCAATTTGTATTTTTGTTGTTCGGGCATGGCCCCATGTAAGCCGCTCCGAATCCCTGTTGGGGGAGATGTTGGCGGGGTATAAATAAAGTTTTATTATTATTATTATTATTATTATTATTACAAGTCAGGAAATAACTGCAAGGCTGTTGTTGTTCATTCGTTCAGTCACTTCCGACTCTTCGTGACCTCATGGACCAGCCCACGCCAGAGCTCCCTGTCGGCCGTTACCACCCCCAGCTCCCTCAAGGTCAGTCCAGTCACTTCAAGGATGCCATCCATCCATCTTGCCCTTGGTCGGCCCCTCTTCCTTTTGCCTTCCACTTTCCCCAGCATAATTGTCTTCTCTGGGCTTTGCTGTCTCCTCATGATGTGGCCAAAGTACTTCAACTTTGTCTCTAGTATCCTTCCCTCCAGTGAGCAGTCGGGCTTTATTTCCTGGAGGATGGACTGGTTGGATCTTCTCGCAGTCCAAGGCACTCTCAGAACTTTCCTCCAACACCACAGATCAAAAGCATCGATCTTCCTTCGCTCAGCCTTCCCTAAGGTCCAGCTCTCACATCCGTAGGTGACTACAGGGAATACCATGGCTTTGACTAGGCGGATCTTTGTTGCCAGTGTGATGTCTCTACTCTTTACTATTTTATCGAGATTGGACATTGCTCTCCTCCCAAGAAGTAAGTGTCTTCTGATTTCCTGGCCACAGTCTGCATCTGCAGTCATCTTTGCACCTAGAAATACAAAGTCTGCAAGGCTACTCAGTGCTAATCAAACTTGCTAATTGCAACATTCACACTTGCCTCAAACAGACGAGATCTGGCCACAGTGGTCCACGCTCTTGTTACATCCCGAATAGATTACTGCACTGCGTTCTACATGGGGTTGCCTTTGAAGACTGTTTGGAAACTCCAACTAGAATCATAGAATCCGAGACGGGCCGGGGTGAGGTGTGAGGGAAATAAACTGTCAGTTGGAACTTTGTTGCATTCCCTAATGCATGCTTTTGAATTAAAGCAAACTTTGTGATGTAACTTCTTCGCCAGAAAGCTACAGATCCAGATAGGTGCCTATAGAGAGACAAAGAGGCAGATTAGAGTTAAGTTCTTAAATGGAAAGAGTGTTTCCTCATGGACACCAAAAGACCATTTTAATTCTCTCTAAAATGACATAGAATCAGGAGAGAATACTTCTAGAACATGACCATATAGCCCGAAAAACCTACAACAACCCATAATGTAAGCTGCTCAAGCAGGTTTCCAAGGCCAAGTGGGATTGAACTGCTCTGTTTGCCAAAACTGTAATCCAGTGTTCAAACTACGACACCTTGAGGTCACAAGAAAGCTTTATTTGTCTCTCAAAATTTGGAAATGGGTAGAAGAAATAAATTTCAATGACCTTTCTAAAACAAACACAAATAATATTAATAATAATAATAATAATAATACTTTACATTCCTTCTCCTTGATGAGACTCAGAGCAATTGTGGTGCCTTGTTACAATGATATACAGTGAAACACAAAGGCAAAGGCTTCTCCTTTCATTTCCAGTTCTGCAGGCGGTGCTCATCTCAGGCTCTTGGGGAGGTACTCATCTCTATTTCCAAGCCGAGGGGCCTGCATTGTCTGTAGACACCTCCTGGTCGTGTGGCAGGCATGACTGCATGGAGGATCCTTTTGCTTTTCCTGCCAAGGCACTACCTATTGATCTACTTACATTTGCATGTTTTTGAACTGCTAGGTTGGCAGGAGCTAGGGCTAACTGTACTGTACTGTGGATTCAAACTGCCAATCTTCAGTTCAGCAGCACAAGGGTTTAACAATACAATAATTGTATTGTTATTGTTTATATTGTTGTATTGTGGGCTCGGCCTCATGTAGCCGCACCGAGTCCCTTGGGGAGATGGTAGCAGGGTATATTATTATTATTATTATTATTATTAACCCATTGCACCACTCGTGGGCCCCGAACGCAGAAGACCTTACAGCTGAAAAGGCAGAAACCAGTGAGGATATCATATCAGCAGCGAATCTTCAACAGTAGCTTTGCACTAAGCTGAACCAGCCACGTTCTACCTCAAAGTGTCCCAGAAGATGATCCAAGGTGTTTTGAATCAAGCGTAATACTAGACGGGTGTTGGAGTTCAGCCTGTAATTATGTCTAATGATCAGGGTACTCTGGATGTTGGGAATGACAGTGAGGTTCATGTACCTAATAATGATGTTTCTATTGATGCAGAGAATGACAATGGGGTTCCTGGGTTGTTGTAGGTTTTCCGGGCTATATGGCCATGTTCTAGAGATATTTTCTTCTGACGTTTCGCCTGCATCTATGGCAAGCATCCTCAGAGGTAGTGAGGTCTGTTGGAACTAGGAAAATGGGTTTATATATCTGTGGAAAGACCAGGTGGGACAAAGGACTCTTGTCTGCTGGAGCTAGGTGTGAATGTTTCAACTGACCACCTTGATTAGCATTTGAAGGCCTGGCCCTTCATCTGGCTACCAGTATTAAAAAACTCAAAAATTACAACAGCAAAACAACAGAGAGTAAACAATCAGGCACATCAAATCACCTCTCAAAGAAAGATTCCCCCAGGCACTTCCAAGCCATTAAATGCTAATCAAGGTGGTCAGTTGAAACATTCACACCTAGCTCCAGCAGACAAAAGTCCTTTGTCCCACCCTGGTCTTTCCAAAGATATATAAACCCATTTTCCTACTTCCAACAGACCTCACTACCTCTGAGGATGCTTGCCATAGATGCAGGCGAAACGTCAGGAGAAAATGCCTCTAGAACATGGCCATATAGCCCGAAAAAACCTACAACAACCCAGTGATTCCGGCCATGAAAGCCTTCGACAATACAATGGGGTTCCTGTTCAAAGTGACTTTTCAGATGAGAATGTTTCTGAAGGGTGTGGGGATGATGGTATGGTCCCTGGAAGAGGGTCTGAATTGCTACCAGAGACTTTGAGCCTGAGAAAAGCTCTTCACCTCAGTCAGCTACAGAAATTAATGAGCCTGTAGATAGAAGGCATGTTTTTAATCAGTTCAGGCAAACAACCCAATCTCTCAAGCGTTCTGCCAGGCTGAGAGAAAGATTGATAACAGAGTCAAGGCTGCAACGAAGTCCGTTCCTTGCTGCTTGGGACAATGAGCAGATTAGGGGATAAAAGTGCCATGTACACTTGGCACTTTTATCCCCTAGTTCAGACGAAGCATCGTTGGAAAATTAGTCAAGACCTCTTTTCTGGTTGTTGGAAGTCTTGCCTTGGATAGATTAATGTGTTTTTTGATTCATGATTCAAGTTTTGGAGTGTTACCTTGGAAGTTTCTGTATATGTTTTTCATTAATTTTGATGGACTAATTTCCTGAGTCTATTTATTTATTTATTATTTGAACTTATATGCCGCCACTCCCCTGGGGCTCGGAGCGGCTTACAAGAATAGCTAAAATCTAACAAAATTTAAAAGCAATTTAAAACAATTTAAAAACAACAATATCAAACATTAAAAGCCTGTCGAAACAGGTATGTCTTACATGCCCTGCGGAAAGCTGGTAAGTCCTGCAAGGCACGGACTTCAGGTGGCAGAGTATTCCAGAGTGATGGTGCCACTGCTGTGAAGGCTCTGCGTCTGGTTGCTATTAGACGCTGCTGAGTATGCATGCCCAGTGTGAAACACATCTCACCACGCTAAAACAGTGGATGTGGCTCTTAATGAGACATGCCACATTATCACGGGTGTCTGCGGCCCTACACCACTGGAGAAATTACACTGTTTAGCCGGTATTGCACCACCTGACATCCACCGGGAAGTAGCAGCCAATAGTGAAAGGACCAAGGCAGTGACATTTCCAGCCCCCTGTTTGTATATCAGCCAGCACGCCAAGAAATAGTTTTCTAAGATCTACAGAGACACTCGCTGGAACACCTCAGCAATCGAGAGTCCAAAAGTGGCAGGCTCAAACCCAGAACCTCAATCAATGGCTGATACCAAATGAGAGACTCCTCCCTGGGCACACAGTGAAGGGAACTATTTCTAATTGGCAAATTAGTGATTCTAAAAAGATAATCAGTCTCTGTGAGGTTTGAAGCAAAAATCCTTTTATTTCAAGTGTGGCCACACTTGGACAGATCAGCCCAGACAATGTAGTGTCTTTCAAAAAACAAGCTGTCTGTGCCAATTGATTTCTCAGTTCCTTCTTATACACTTTTCCTGCTGTGTCATGATACAGATCCATCCCATTCCGGAATAGTCTTTCAAAAACTTCCTACAAAGCTGATAACCTTCTTCACACTAAGAGCAAACATACATGTTATGACTTCAGACTCCTTCTTGGATGTCATCCTGCCCCATGTCCTTGGCGACTCTGCCATCCTGTCTTTCAAATCTCCTATCTTCCTTTCAGCCTTCACTGTTTTGTAGGCTAAAGGACAAACCTCTTTCTTAGGCTTGCATTTTCAGCATTTCCAACATCTCTTTCACCTAATAAGCTCTATTCACCCCTTCACTAGAGCACTGGGCGACTTGGAAGGCGTTGAACAGACTGCGCTCTGGCACCACGAGATGCAGAGCCAACCTCAGAAATGGGGCCACAAAGTGGAATCCACGACATGCGAGTGTGGAGAAGAGCAAACCACTGACCTCCTGCTGCAATGCACCCTGAGCCCTGCCACATGCACAATGGAGGACCTTCTTGCAGCAACACCAGAGGCACTCCAAGTAGCCAGCTACTGGTCAAAGGACATTTAATCAACTACCAAACTTGCAAACTTTGTGTTTTGTTTGTTTGTTGGTTAAAAATGTAATATCCTGACACGATAAATAAATAATTTCCTGGACTATTTGTTCCTGCTTATCTTTCTACCTAATTGGATTTACCTATTTTTACGGAGTGTTTTTTACTGCTACTGCTTTTAAACTATCTTCAATAAACTGCTTGTGTTTCTATTCAGCTGTGTGGTGTTTAAAGTCTGGCTTCTCTGGCCTGGAGTGCAACAATGGGACGGAATCAATACAAAGGCTAGAGCTGCTTTCTGTCCAGGTGTTTTCTTCATTGTGTGAATATTCTGGTGCCGCGTGAGTTTTGAGGTGCCTTTTGAGGTGTGATTTTTGACGGAAGCACTTCCCACACTCCAGGCAGGTGTATAATTTCTCTTCCGTGTGGCTATTCTGGTGTCCTTTGAGACGCGATATGCAGCTGAAACTCTTCCCGCACTCTGGGCATTGATAGGGTCTCTCTCCTCTGTGATTCATTTCATGCACAACCAGATTTCTCTTTTCAACAAAGTGTTTCCCACACTCAAAGCATTTATAAGGCTTCTGTCCTGTGTGGATTTTTTGGTGTTTATTGAGGTTTGATTTGATACAGAAGCATTTCCCACACTCCAGGCATGTGTACAATTTCTCTTCTGTATGGCTATTCTGGTGTGTTTTGAGGCGCGAGACGTAGCTGAAGCTCTTCCCACACTCCAGGCATTTATAGGGTTTGTCTCCTCTGTGATTCAGCTCATGCTCATTGAGGTATTTCTTTTCAGCAAAGCCTTTCCCACACTCCTGGCATTTATACGGCTTCTCTCCCGTGTGGTTCTTTTGGTGTTTGTCGAGGTCTGCTTTTTGACGGAAACATTTCCCACACTCCAGGCATGTGTATAATTTCTCAGTATGGCTGTTGTGGTGTCCTTTGAGACGTGATATGCAGCTAAAACTCTTCCCGCACTCCAGGCATTGATAGGGTCTCTCTCCTCTGTGATTCATTTCGTGCAGAACGAGATTTCTCTTTTCAGCAAAGCCTTTCCCACACTCCAGGCATTTATATGGTTTCTCTCCCGTGTGGGTTTTTTGGTGTCTGTTGAGGTGGGCTTTTAGACGGAAGCATCTTCCACACTCTAGGCATTTATGCGGCTTGTCCATCATATGGGATTTTTCATCGTTATCAAGGGGTATTCTACATCCGGAGCTTTCTTCCAATTGGGAGCATTTAGATTGACTTGGACTCTCTTGCCCATCATCACCTCAAAAGAAGAGAGACACAAAAAGAGAAAGAGTAAGAAGGCATGAGAAAAGAGAAGTGTGGCAATTTTTAAATTGCCTGGTGTTAGCACAGCAGGTTAATCACCAGCTGCAGTAAATCTTGCCAACCAAAAGGTTGACAGTTCAAAGCCTGGATCAGGGTGAGCTCCTGTCCTTTAGCCCAGCTCCCAGCCCACCTAGCAATGTGAATACATAAATAGGTACCGCACTGTTGGGGCATGTAAAGAAAT